CTCAAATTTAGTTCCTTTTGAGTAAGCAAGTACTTCAAACTCTTGTGGTCGGCAAAGATGTAACATTTTCACTGACCCTCTTGCATTAGAACACAACTCAAACTGTTTAGCAAAGCATTGCTAAACACGATATAGTCATTGCCAACTTCAGTTGAGTAGGCTTGAGTTAACACCTCCTTTAGTTTCTCAAAACTCCGTTGAGGCTTATCATTCCAAACAAAAGGAATTGCCTTTGAAGTAGCTTAGTCATTGGAGCGACGATAATAGAAAACCCTTTAATGAAACAAAAGTAGTACCCGATAAACCTTTGGAAAATGTGTACCTCTGACACGCTCCGCGATGGTTCCCACTCAACCACTGTTCAAATCTTTTGAGCATCAACTCGAATACCCTTGACTGACACCACATGACCCAAAAACGATACATCTGACAACCATAACTCACACTTACTGAACTTGGCGAATAACTGGCGCTCTTTCAAGGTTTGTAGCACAATACGAATGTGACAGTCATGCTCATCCTCTAAATGCGGGTATACCTATATGTCATTAATGAAAACCACCACGAACTGGTCTAAATATTGAAAAAAGTTATATTTTGAAAACAAGAAAAAAGTTGAAAAGAAAATGTTCATTTAAAATTTCATGTAAAAGTTTCATTGACAGAAAAATTCCTTTTAAAAATTAATTTGGGTATACTGAGATAAGAGAAGGTTAGATTAACCACATATAAAATTCTCGAAATAAACTTTTGAAAATAATATTTTTCGTCGTTAATTTTGTAAAGAATTTTTTTTCAAAGAAGATTTGATAAGAGAAATGATAGATAATTTTGCCTAAATCTTATAATGTCCAACACCAATACAAGATCAACAGTTTGATTGCTCTTCAAATATCCTTAGAAATATTTTTACGGTGAGGCACCTTTTAGAAAAATTGAAGAGATTTAGGGTTCTTTAATAAGTTGAGAGGTAAAAATATTTTATTTACTTTTTTTAATTCTTTATTTTCCATGTTATTTAATTACTAATAATTAACTCAACACTAACTTAGCATTTGACGGACGGCCGAGGCCTAATTAATGTGTTATGTCAAGAGAAATTAAATGTTTTATTGATCAATGAAGAAAAATATTAGTCAAAATACCACATTAAATTTTTTCTAGGTTAGAAGGTCACATTAGGTGTAAAAATAATTCAAGCACCATATTAAATTTTTTTTTAAAAGCTCGACTACCTCATGTACCTTTTTGTCATTATAAATAACAATAATATAATATATATAAAAAGTTTTTATATAAAAATTGAAGGAAAAATCAAATTTAATTTTTTATTATCGAAAAATAAAAATACTAATTTTTAATTCTAATATCTATTATTTATTTATAAATAACTAATTAATCATAAAAAATAAATTTAATTATAAATCTATTCAAATGAAATTTTTAATTTTATTTAAAATTTAATATAAAAAATATAACTACATCAAAATAAAATTTAAATCAAATTATAGTTCACGGACATTGAAAAAAATAATTTAATGTTTGAATTTATAACGTACAACTATAGTCGCTCCTATTTAGGGTTGGGTCGGATTTTTTTAAAGGTGATGTTTGGGTCTGGTTGGATTCGGATTTAGGGTGAAAAATATTCGATCTGATTTGAAAAAAATATAATTTTACATAATATATTTAGAAATAATTACAACAATACCCCTCTATATATTATTTTTTTTCAATTAAATCACGGTTTTTATTAAATAAAAATAATATTTTTATTATTTCGTGTCGTATCGGATGAGGTTTGAACTTTATCTCAAAAGGTCAGGTCGAGTTTAAGTCAATTGAAGAGTATATATTTTTCGAATAAAATAGAGTCAGATAGAGAATGTGAAATTTTTAGGTTGAGTACCAATGTCCATCACTACTCCTATCTGCTTTGGTGGTCATTTTATTGCGTACGTTTGACATTTGCACGTTATTTTTATGAAACTAATTTGATAAGACATGCAGATTTCATTTCTTCACCGATAACAAACATCTTACTAATTATTTAGTTAATAATAAAAACATAAATAACAATAAACATATAATTATATTAATATAAAACATATTTAAAAATAAATTAAATTATTTAATAAGTCAACCTATAGGTGACCTAATGATTTCATAGTAGAAAAAATATTACTTTTTAGAAAATTTAAATTCGAATAGTTACGATTATATTGTATGTATTATTAATGATGATTCATCTATGTTCGACGAGCAGTGATGGGAACTACTAACGACGAACACCATTAATTTAATTTATAAAAATTTAAATTCTAAAGGACTCAAATTATAATTATAAATTAGTTAAAAATTTAAAGATAAATTATTTAAAATAAAGAGTAAATTATACCAGTGATCACCTAATTATTATTGCTTTTCATTTTGACCAATATTTTTAAATTTTTATCAATCAGGTCACTCAATTATTTAAATGCATTCAATTAAGTCATTTGTCGTTAATATTTGATAGAAGAACTGATGTGGCCGTTAAAATATTTGGTATAATTATACATTTAATCACTGTTACTTATATATTCTATCAATTTGATCATAATTTTGATAAACTTAAACAAACTTGACCCTCAAATTAACTTTTTCCCACGTCTCAGTGTGTTTCTTGACCACCCTACTTCCTCAGTATTATAGTCTCCCACTTTTTTTTCAATTAAGAGATCTTTTTAGAAAGCTGATTTATATAATTAAGATTATTTTTATTTTTATAAAAGAAAATTATTTAAAATCTATTTCGATACTTAATATTAATTAAAACTGAAGTCATATTAATTGTTAATATATTATAAATTTAATCTATCAAACTCTCGACTTTTAGAACTATGGAATCATAAATAAATAAAGGATTTTGATGTTATTATTTTTTTCTTAATGTGATAAATTAAAATAAAAAGTTGAATTTTGGGTCATATTATAAATATAGAATATGTCGTAACTTTTAAAATTAAAATAAAAAGTTGAATTTTGGGTCATTATACATGGTACTAATTGATTTAAGAGTTAATTTTATTTTAATTTAATATAATTAAAACCAAATTGATAGAATAAATAAGTAGCAGTGACCAAATGTGTAATTATACCAAATATTTTAACTGTCACATCAGCTTCTCCGTTAAATATTAACGGAAAGTGACTTAATTGAATGTATTTAAATAGTTGAGTGACTTGATTGATAAAATTTCAAAAAATATTGGTCAAAATAAAAATGACAATAATTAGATGGTTATTGTTATAGTTTACCTTTATTTTAAATAATTTATCTTAAAATTTTTAACTGATTTACAATTATACGTTGAATTCTTTAAAATTTAAAATTTTTAAAATTAAATTAATAGTGCTCGTCGTTAGCGGTGTTCATCGAACGCCTTAGAATTTTCCGTATCATTAATAACTAAGATAAATTCAAATATCATATTTGATATTTCATGGAAATATATTTTAAAAATATATATCACATGAAATTTTATCACAATATAAATAAAATATTAATCAATTTAAAAACATACTAGCACATTAAATAGTTTTTTTCAATATACTAATTTCAAATGTCACTGTATCCATTATTCAATTGAGTTGGCTCGGATTTCAGTCCAGTTATCAACTGATGAAATGCAGGAAAAGGTTTGAAAATTAACATTTTAAAATACAAGTTTACTCAATTTCGAGCATAATGCCAGACTTATTTCATCTTTCAAAGAAAAAGCCGAAATTTACGAATTAAAGGGAAAAGAAGTAAAATTAAGGGCACACAAGTCAAAAAGTTTGGATTTTTGAGAGGATTTACCGTGTAAAAACCAGGTGTGGTTTGGTGATCAGAGACAGAGTCCACCATTCCCCATTTTCGTCTCAGCAAAGAAGTATCCAACTGGTAAAACAAGAAGAAAAACTTGAACCCTTAATTTTTTTTCTTCCAAAATTTTTTGTTTTTATTTGTACGTCCTTATTAGTAATCATATATGTTCTTTGCTTCTTCTTCTATTTTCTTGTATTAAAATTTAATAGTTATTTCAGCTTTTTTTTTTGCTCAATTTAGCAATGCTCGTTGCTCACTGATTTCATGCTAAATGAACTCTTCACCTTAATTTGTTGGCTGATTCCCAGAAGTTTACTCACTAGAATTCCGAGAACTCACCAGGATTCTTAGTAACTTGAATTTTATTGGGTTTTTTGATATTACTATTTTGTTCTTAATATCTGCTACTAGCTCGACTGATTCATCAAAATATTCTTTTATTTTGTGTATACTGCATTATTTGAAGCCATCGGCAAAGACTGGTCTGTGGTGCCAGCAAGGGTCATATGATCATCACTGGCTATGCTATTATGCAAAGCTAAATGAATAATTTGATAAGAAAACTATAAACTTTTGCTTATGTTCCTGTCTTTTTTCGATGTGCAGGATGATCGATCCTTGCGACATATGTGGTGATATAGGCTTTGCAGACTGTGTTGCAACTTGCTATGAGTGCCAAATCGCAAGGGAACATTGGTTTGGTTGCTCTTACCTTTTGCCTTATGCTCGGTTTTGATCGAACTTCTATTTTTGTTTTTTTAAGTTTTGCTTTTTGATCACCATGTTTATCTTGGATTGTGTGACCTCAATTTAGGCTAACTTGGTTTAGAAACCAGAGATTGAACACTAATGTTAAAGTATTACCCTATTTCTCTACCCGACTTTCAGCTATTGCATGCGAGAAGTTCTTTTGACTGTCCCAGAAAATTGGTTATGTGAAGAGTGTCAATTGAGCAACTCCATAGCTCCTGATTCTTTTACAGAGGAAAATGTTCCCATGTCTTTAACATCAATTAATTCTGAAAGTGTTTGTACCAGTCCGGTTCTTAAGCTTTCGAGCAAACCCGTTGATCAGGAAAATGAAATGGCTTCGAAATCAAACACCTCCAAGACTTTGAATCCGAGCAGGTTTCTCGAAAATAAAAAAGATTAGGTTCCGCTTGTAAACAAGGGGCTGCTAGAGTTGGGAATGTGAAGAAATTTAAAGCAAGTCATGATGTTAGGAAAACACAATATTGCAGCTCAAAGCTAAGTTCTAAGTCCCCACAGAAAGCAAGCCAAACATCAAAACTTCGAAAAGGTAAGAAAGTGTTGTGCCTGCATTTGGCGATGATTGAAATATTGATCGGAGCTGATAATTGAATCTGTATACCCATTTCTAGTTCCTATGCACTATTTATCTTCTTGCTCTGGGATCTCGAATATCATTTAAATACATTGCTGGTGCATGCTATCAATCATAGTTCTTAACTAATCAAAAGATGTGGTTCCTTCTATGTTGAATCAATTCAAAGCTTCCTTTAGTTTCATGTGCTTTAAATAGATATCTTATATACCTCATACTCTAATGTGGCAGCTCTTATGGTTTCTGTTTTGGATGAAGAAACTTCTGCTACATGTGAAAAAGAGGCGCACGATACTAATCTGCTCGGTGAAAAGATCGAAACCTCACAGTCACAAGGAAGTGATAGCGAGGAAGCCTCTTCCGAGGGGTTAACTACTAGCTCACCTGTAAGTACGACAGTGAGCACTTTAACCGAGCCAGATCTAGAAAAGATAGCTATGGAGTATCATATAGACACTAATAGGTACCATCTTTCTCTTCCTAAATCATCGGAGAGAGCAAACTCGAATTTCTCATGTAAACGCACATTTTGTGTCTATGCTGATGCCTTTAAGGCCGGACTTCGTCTTCCTCTTCATCCTCTAATTTCGGAGATCCTCAATGTGTTCGGCATTGCTCCTTCTCAGATACATCCAAACTCATGGAGGGCACTGACTTGTTTTATTTCCTTTTGTTATTATCGAAAAATAACTCCTACGGTGAACATCTTTCGTGCAATCTACTGTCTCAAAGAGCACACTGGGGAGAACACGGGATGGTGGTTCTTCAGTGCTCGGATTGGGTTAAAGTTGTTCGAGGGATTTCCGCGTTCCATCAAGGGATGGAGGAAAAGGTTTTTAATAATTAAAACATCTGAGAGAGACATCTTACGAGTTAACACGAATTGGGGTCCTCCCAAAAGTGCTGCGAATCATTTTCCAACACTTTCGGCTAAGGAGGTCAAATCATTGGATGATCTCGTCGATGCAGCGAGAAACAATCCACCTGAAATTGGAGTTTTGTTGTCAGAAGAGACCTTGATTCAAGCTGGAATCAGTTCAACCTCACTAAAATCGAAGGGGTCTGAGGGTGGTATGATCAGTATACTCAAAGTCCATTCTTTTCTTTATGCTTTTAGAGTTCATGCTGTTGTTTTCCTTCGTTTCAGGGATGCAGCAGCATCATAGCTTGTCTCGATCTGGGCTAGTAAAGGCCTTAAAGAGAAAAAGAGCTGCGACAGAGTCTGGAAAAAGCTATTTTTCTGGTTTTCCTTGTCAAGAACCGATCTTAATAGATGTCAATCAGGAGGATATGCCCGAGACGAAGAGTTCAAAGGAATCACTGCAACCTACAGAACAATTAGGCTTATTGCAGCCTGTTGAGCTAAAAAATCAGCTGCAAGAGATCACCCCTCCCATGACCTCCGCTCCTCTAGATATTCCTCGTGAAGTCCTTCCCCAACAAGCCTCCCCGGAGTCTAATGTCCGGCACATTGCAGGAGCGTCAGCTGCCACAGTTAACTCAATTTACTTTGATACTGCCACAAATGAACTTCCCCCTTCAAATGCTGAAGTGATGCGGACAGGATCCGTTGAGTACACCATGGAGCAATCGGTTTTCACTCATCCTGCTCTTGCAAGGGAGCTAATCAGTCGAATGGTTATTCCCCACGACTGTAATTCCGTGGTTCAGAAGGATACTTTGGTCATGGCTCAGGAGCTTATGTGCCAAGCAATGGAGGTAAGCCGTTTCCTTCCATTTTCAGTAGACTTGACAATTTTAAACACCTGGTGGAAAAAAATAACCAAAACACAACATATGAAAACTAATATGAGCATGACACGAATACACAAATTATTATGTCTTTAAATTTATATTTATGCAAAATACAAGAATTGCCAGGTTTAATTATCAAAATTTGGTGCAGAATGCCACCTGGAAAATTGGGGTGTCTCAAAAGTTGACGACGATGCACAACATGATCAACGAGTTGAGGGAAGAAAATAATGCACTAAAAAGAGAGCTAGAATCACAGAAGATGGTAGCGGCTGAGTTCGAGTCGGCCAGAAAAACGACAGTGGAGCTTCAAAGTTTGACCGAGGAGCAGACTCAGAGGTTTGAGAAGGAGGTCAAAGGGCTCGAGATCAGGCTAAAGAAGACTGAGGAAAGGGCTTGGACATGGGAGGATAAGTTCACTAAGCTCCAGAGGAGGCTGAAACAGGCCGAGGACCGGGCAGCATCTGCCGAAAGGAAGGTCATCCTGGCTGAAGGAAAATTGTGCCAGTCTGTAACGACAAAGTCAAAGATTGCCGAGGAGACACTGAAGAACTTCAAGTCTTCACAGGAATTCCGGCGTGAAATCGAGGATTATAACGCAGAAGCCTACAACATGGGGTTAAACGGTGCCATCGAGAAGATCAAGAAGAAGTTTCCCGATCTAGACCTGTCGATGATCGATTTTTATTCCGAGGATTAATGGGGAGCCTATCTAGCTGCAGCATATTTTCCAGGTTAAATCTTCGTAAACATAATCCTCTAGTCCTGATCTGTATGTAAATGAAGAACTTTTCTATGTCATTGGAAGCCATTAATCCTAGTTCCATACTCTAAGCTTACTATGTTGAATATCTCAATGCCCTTAATTTAGAGCTTCTAAAGCAGATTATGAAACTTAAAATTCAAGTCAAAACAAAACTGAGTCACGATTCAGGGTCGACTTATAAACAAATTTGAAAAGGGTCAGATTATCTATTTGATTGGGTGGAGTCAAAAACTAAATTTTGATTTATGGATTAATAGGAACATCACATAGTCCCACTTGCTTTTGTTATATTTTTATGGAAATAAAAACAAATCTTATTGCTTTGATTATAGAGTATAAATATTTATATAATATAGATTATTAATATATTAAAGTTATATAAATATTACTTTTTAAGTAATTTAATAATTTTATAAAATGATATCAATAGTTATTTAATTATTTTATTTCTGATTCGACCAACTACATTTGCAGAGTGTGTGCATTTTTAATAACTAAAAGATTATACAAACAAATATTACATTGTAATCATCTCAAACTATTCAAAAAATATTTTTTTATTTTTAAATCAAGTGAAAATTATCTAATCTTTAATTTAATAGGCATATAAGTTAAATATTAAATTTGGTGAAACACAAATATAATCTTATCCTAACTTAGTGGTTATGATTTTAGACACTAATTTAAAGTATCCCAGATTTAAATTCCATAACTAATAAAATTTATATATGTGTTTTATATACGTATATATCATATGATTGTGTAATATTATTTTTAGTATGTAGGTGAAAAAGTAGTTCTTGATTAAAAATAAAATAAGAATAATTAATTTCGATTCTACAAATTTTATAATTTAATTTGAATTAAAATGTTGAGTGTATCCTCTAAATGCGGGCTACATAACACGAAATATAACATGCGATCAATTCCCAATAAAATATGCAACATATATCTATCTTTCTTGGTGGGTGAACAATTCAACACTTGATAAATTTTCATAATGATAGGAAAAACCGACATCGAAAGATCAAAAAGTAATATTGCTATGAGCGTTTGGTTGCACAAGCCTGTTATTACTGTGATAATTTTTCTAATACCTTTAGCTTTAAATTTTGAAGATCTAAAGGATCGATAGGTTAAGTTTTCATAGTTCGTATTTATATTGGAAATCAAAACTAAACGAGCTTTTACCCTTTTGTTGCACACGAGATTTTTATTCTCATTGAGCTCATCTTATGATACACGTGCTATCTTTTAACAGATGTGCCGCTCTAGCCAAACTCGCCACCTGACAATGTTTTTCGCTCAAATTGACCGACTTAAGTCGATATGGGGTCAAAAAAAAAAAGGATTCTACCCCGCTTTCGATTCACAGAATAAGTAAAATAACGTTAAAAGTAGGGGGTGTACATTTTCGGGTATTAGATATTATCCGATCCGAAATATTAAATATCTAAAAATTTGGATCATTAAAATCGTGATTCATATCCGATCCAAAAAAATCAGATATCCGAATTTTCGGATATCCGAAATTTCTGATCGGATATTCAGATATTCGGATCCGAATATAAAGTTTAATTTCAAAAAATATGAAAATTAAATTTAATATTTTAGAACTTTATATAAAATATTATATACTTTATTATATTATAATTATCAAAATATGCTAGAAGAAAATAAAAAAAAATTCTTAATGTGTGATTTCAAAGCTTAAAAAACAAATAATTTAAAAGGTTAAAAAGGAAGAAACAAAGAAGTCACTGGATTCAATTATCGAATTTGCAGGCTGACTGGATGGTGGCTAGGGCGTTGGGCATTTTAAGTTTTAGGTTAGGGACGGGCTGGTTGGCTAGAATTATTGGGTCTGGGTAAATTTTTTAAAGGCCCATTTTTATCAAATATTCGAATAACTTGAAATTAAATTTTAGTCGATCCATATTCAATTCGATTATCTGATTTTTTTGGATATCCAATTCAAAATATCCGAAAATTACAAAGTGAATAAGATATCCAAATTTCGAATCTGATCAACAAATCAATGGATTTGTTTGGTTGGATAAATTTTTTTGCACACCCTAGTTAAAAGTAGTGATATTTCAATTTCGTCCGAGAATTCCCAACTATCCTACATCTCTCAAGTCATTTCACAAAGTCGGACTAGAGTCAAACTCAACAAGATCTTCTTTCCCTACTGATTCTACTAAGCTCGTTCCCTTGATTGTGGTTTTGTTGGATAGTTGACAGGGACAATTGGAATCTCGATAACCAATTCATGCATATCATTAATTAGATGACGAGACGTTTGGTTACCTTAAGAAAGTCACAGTTACTCTCATTATTTATTTGTGCTTGGTTGAATTTATTCACTTTAATATTATGAGGATTAAGCAAAATCACATTGTCTGAGCGTTCGCAGAGACGATCGCAATACTTTATTTTAATTAAACAACCAAATTTTCTTTGTTTTTATCATTTTTGTGTTGACTGTTTGTCGTTTGAAGAAAACTTTTGAAAGAGTCGTCCCCAATTCATCTCTTGACCGATACGTAGAAAGAGATATAATATACAAAATCAAATTTAATTTTTGAAAACGGTGATGAAACTTCAATCCAATTCTAACATCAAACAAATTAATTCTTAATCATAAATTAATCTAAACTCTTAGGAGATTTATTTTTTCTTTTTACCAAAACATTGAGCTTTTGTCATTAGTAATATCTAATAAAAATATATAAAAGGGTATGAATGATATTATTAGTATAAAAATTAAAAAATATAAAATATAAAATATAAAATATAAAATAATATTATAATTTATAAATATTAAATATCTATAATTAATATTATAAATATAAAAAATTATAATATATTAATATTTTAAACAAAAAATTATGCATTTGATTAGATATATATTTATATTTTTGGTGTCTTTATTTTTTTAAAGGAGGTCCAAGAGTTTTATGTTAGATTCGTTGAGTTTGATACGTTCTCTGGTGAAACGAAAAAGAACAAAGTAAAAATTCTAGGGTTCAATAATTGATGATAACACTTCAATCAACCCGAGACTAAAGTTAAGCAACTAGATGCTAAGATTGGACATTTCTCTATCTCATCATGCCCCTTACTCCTTTAAGTACTAGGGGCGGCTCATTACCTCAACGCTCGTTTGCCCCTTCGACTTGTTCAATTCAACAAGAAAAGGGTGTGTCTTTTTCCTGATAAATAACTTCATGAAGCAGAGGCATTATTGAACGAAAGAGATATTGGGTCGGTCAATTGCATTAAGTAGGAGATGCAACACTTGTCTTAACCGCATGTGCATTCGCTATTCAATCCCACAAAAATTTTATCCAAAGTTTGTATCTCTTCTCTACTTTTAAGTGACAATGGGGTGACAAACAATATACTTTCTTCTCTATGTTGTCGTATCATCAAATGAGCGTAGATGGATAGAGACGGCTTTTGTGATGGTCAATTTGTATCCCATTCTTCAAGTATAGTTTTGTTTGATCATAGATCGATAGGTGACCAATCCTTTCTCTCCCTTTCTTCATAAGACATGGTTTGACTCCAAGAAATACCATTCTTGTATGATATTGATCGATGGTGAGCAATGATAATAGTAGTGAGTGATGGCCAAAGTCGAGAGACTTTGGTTGATTTGATGGATTAAATCGATATTTTATATAAAGTTTAGATGTCAAAATGATATTTTATTTAAAGTTCATGATCTATTTAATATTCTACCTAAAGCTTAAGGTTTAAATTAAAAATTAACCCCGTTTAATTCACGAACCATGCCATCAAATTAACAAAAATTAATGCTTTAGTGACCAAAACGTAAAAATTAATAACATAAACTAGCAAAATTTAACAAATTGATAATATGAATAAATGAAATATAATTTTTTTTGAACTTGATAAGTAAAAGTGTATGAATGTGACAAATAATTGTTTATTCATATAGTTACTTTTAGGGTAAAGTATACCATTGATCACCTAATTATTTAGTCCTTTTGCTCCTACCATCGATCTTTCAATTTTATCAATCAGACCACCTAACTATGTAATTATTGTCAATCAAACCACCTGTCGTTAAAAATTTCGAAAGTTAGTAAAATTGACATAATTATATATTTAATCCTCAATACTTCTATATTATATTATGTTGATCTTAATTTTAATTTAATTTATTAAATTTAATTCTCTAATCAGATTAAATTAAATGACTTTTTTCTTAATGTTAATTATTTTATTTTCCACCCAACATCAAATTGAATGGAAAATTAACACAAAAAGAAACAAGGGCGTAAGAGGGTGGGGCCGGATTCGAACATGCGTCCTTTGGATTGCAACATTTAATATATAACACAATTTACCGAATGAAGACAAAAAGAAAGTAAAAAGTAACTTTAGTTTTAACTTAAGTAATAAATTAATTTTTTTAAAATAATTCTATATAAATATTTAACCCAGTTTAAATTTTTTAAATCATTTCACATAGTTTCTAACAAAAATAAATTGAGTTAAAATATAAAACATTATTAATAAAAAATTTAAAATTGTTACTCAGTTAATAAAAGTTAATTTAAGTACTATATATATAATTTTTTAATTTATCAAAAAATTCAATTTTTTTAAAATAATTTTGAGTTGAAAATATATATATGAAATTATTAATAAAATTTTAAAATTATTATTTAATATAAAATGATTTAATTCGATGGTTGTTACTTTTTCCTTCAATTTTTTATACTTCTTATATACTGAACGTCTGCATAAGTAGATCACGATTATGATGATAGTCCAGTGGCTTGAGCGTTGATCCTCAATCGCATAGGTTCGATTCCAAAACCGCTCTTTCCTTGTGCATGTTCCATTCAACTTAACGGTGATGTCAATATCTGACTGGATTGAGAATAAAATAACAGTAAGAAAAAATCTTCAATCATGTTAATATCTAATTGGATGGAGAATAAAATAACATTAAGAAAAAATCTCTAATCATGTTGTGTCACTTATTATAATTTGATTAAAGGATTAAATTTATAAATTAAATTAAAATTAA